ATGTATTGTCCGTCAAGGGTTGGCTCGAAATCGTGTCTCTGTGTTAAATCATCCACCGTATTCATCTGATTTGGCCCCCTACGACTTCTCATTATTCCCAAAATTGAAATTGAAATTGAAAGGACGCTTTTTTGATGACATTCCGATCATCCAATCAGCTTCTACACAGGCACTAGAGGCAATTCCGCAAACTGAGCTAGAACATGCATTTGAATCACTATTGAATCGCTGTAACAAGTGTATTGAAACCAGAGGAGAATATTTTGAATAATAAAACCAAAAAATATTCATATTGTTGTTTCAATTATGATTTTCAGGCCCTGTCCGGGAACATATTTGTCACACTGTGTAGTTAGCCCACAATGAACGCCTCTGATATTGGATCTAATTAAACAAAGCGCAAAATATTATTATATCACTTGTATGATAAATAAAAGTGATATTTTCACGAATGACATAAAGATGCTAACCTTTTCCATGCTGACTTTATAGGGTACCTTCCAACAAGAAACACACATCACAATAAGCAATTTTGACCTTCTAGAGTGCCTTCCAACAAGAGACACAGTGTGACACGGTGCATCATTACAATCTTGTTCGCCAATACAAGAATGAGATACTGTATTGTACTTGCTTGAGTCGCTTGTTAGAAAGCACCCATAACCTTCTCTTACCAAAGGCAGACAATATTCTGCTACTACATTTTTTTCTATTTTGTGGACACAAAACACTGGTTTCCCATTGAAAAACACATTCATTGTATACACACACACACACACACACACACACACACACACACACACACACACATTCATCCACAAGCTATAGATAGTATATATTTTTTATGTAAAGAGAAGTTTATAATTTACAAAACCCTTTGTTTATTATTATTTTTCATTTTATTAATAAATGTATAATAATTTAAGGTATTCCCCTGTCTTTTATTGATATCACCCCTCGCATACTTTCACTTCCCTCGAATACCTGAGATCGCACGAGGTCCAGTCCCGGCTCAAAGGGAATAAGTTCCTTGATCGAAAAAGTAGGACCGACGTTCGCAATGTCCAGCGGAACAGATGTCATAGCGTCCCTTCGGACGTTGATCCATATTCCAGAACTGAAAAGGTGCGTTCGACTCACAGGTATTCGCCTCCGCGCGTATACCTGTGAGATTGAGTCTAACCGTCCTTCCACACCCTCTCCATTTTCCCTCATTGTCTCCTTGACCAAATTTTTAAGGGTTTGGACATAACAATACTAAAGAAATATAAATTTTCTATTAATTTTCATCATAATCATTTCTACTTTCTAATCCACTTTTATATATACATAATCATCTTTTTAACCTTTATTATTATACCACCATAAAACTTATTTATTTTTACTTAATTTTTTTTAATTCTATTAAAACAAAAATCAAATGAAACTAGAAAGAGAAAGAAGGGATGGAAATTGAATAGATTATAAGAATGGAGGGGGGCGGGGAGAGTTAATTAAATTTTATAATTTATATGGGAGAAGAATATGTAATAATAAATAATATAATTTTATAATTATAGTATGATAATTATATAATATATATTATATATGTATAATATAATAGAATAGGATGTAGAATAGGATGAGTAATAAAAATTTTAATTTAATTCAGCTATTAGTTTTACCAAAAATATTAAAAATAAAGGCATTACTATAAACCTATACCACATATACCACATCCTGTCACTTTATAAAATGCATAAAAGAATATCTTTCCCTCAGAAATTTGTTTTTTTATATTTTTCTATATATCAATTCTATTTTAATACTGTAGGATCTCGTGGAAGACCCTAACGGAATAAATGTATCAAGGCGTAGGTTTTCAATGTGACACTCGTTAACTTAGCTCAAAAACAATAATGTCCTTTCTTACGCGTCTCTCCCCTGTGTGTCCTCGCTCTCTCGTAGGGTCGCCGCCTTAGCTCTAGCGTCCGTGCCGCTCGAAGGGGAGAGAATAGCTCTAGAGAGCGCGCGTAACTTGAATTTGCATGCAGTTGTAGAGATTAAGATTCCCACAACTCGGCCGTCCTGAAAAGGCATCTGTCCCAGATTACTACAACACAGAGGACCATGGCTTCATGTATTCAGCGCATTAACTGGTTTTCTTAAAGCCCTCGCCAGGCACCTCACGCTCAACATTGTAAGAATTGTTCGATTTAACTCGCACAAGTTTATAAGGGCCAAGGTACTTGGCGCAAAGTTTTTTGCCAGGTCCTACCTGCACTCTCTTAATCGCAACTAAGTCGTTAATCTTATATTTAGTTGGCTCGCGTCTTCTCAAATTATATGTTTTATGATTTTCATTCTGAATTTTACGAATTTGTTCTTTAGCCTGTTTTCGTAATTGATCACGATCCTGCTCGAACGTAATCGGAATTCTTCTACTGCACTTTTAACAGTTAAGTCGTTTTTTTGTTTCATTTTTACTCCAGTCAACAGTTCGAACGGAGTCATGCTTCTATGAAAAGTGGAATTTACAGTCTGTTGAATTATAGGTACATATTTATACCATTTCGTAGGATCATTTATCGCAAGCTTAGTTAAAATGGGGATAATCGTTCGATTAAGCCTTTCCACTTGTCCGTTTGCTCGCGGTAGACCAATTGTGATCATGGAATGTTTGATATCTTCTTCTTCGCAATAATTTTGAAATTCTATGGAAGAGAGGCGGTGCCTCTGTCGGTTATGATGCCAGCTGGATTTTCAAATGTTTGCATCTGCAGTTTTGTAATCACTTCCTTAGACGTCATGGATTTGGTAGGATACAACCAGCAAAACTTGATAAAGCTATCTATTACAGCTAATATGTGATTATACTTTTTGCTCGAGTCCAATGGTCCCAATGATCCAAATGATATATGTGTAGAGGCAAATCACCTTTAGTTAGTTGAGGAAATTTTGTTTACCTGCCTTTTTATTCCCCAAAATGCACGAGACACAATTTGCTATTACATTTTCAGTTTTTTTGGATAACATCGGAATATAGTACTCTTGCTTGACAGCTTCTTCGGTACGCTTCACAGAAAAGTAATCTCGACCATGAGCCATCAGAATGATTTCGCTCTGCATGTCCTGCGGTTCACGATCGTCTTTGAATTTATATAGTACATCATTACGCATCGTATAATTGTCGTATGGTTTCTCTTTTAAAATCTCTAAGATGTAGCTCCGGATCGCTTTTCTGCGCCTTCATGACTTTAATATACAATAATATTATCTTCGCTACTAATCGCCATAACCGGGTAACGGCATCTACGTGTTTCATCCTAGGACTAGCTCTATGTTCAACGATTACGTCAAATTCCTCGACCATCAAAGCCCATCTCGCAATCTTAGCGGATAACTTGACTTTACTTAGAGTTTGTTTGAAAGCTATACAATCAGTTACGATCTTAAATCGCATGCCCAAAAGATAGTGTCTGAATTTATCTAACGCTCTTATTACGGCTAAAACTTCGAGCTCGTAGCTAGTATATCTGGATTCTGTTTCTGTCATCTTGCAACTCATATAATATACCGGATATAGTTTATTATCTGGGTTCTTCTACAAGATTACCCCTAGACCATCCTTACACGCATCAGTATGTAACTCAGTTTCGAATTTAAGATTAAATATTCTTAACACCGGGCTGTTACTTAAATCCGATTTCAGCTGCTTAAATTATTCTTTTTCCTTTACATCAAATCGGAACGGATTTTCCTTTCTTAGCAAATCACTCAGAGGCTTTGCCTTAATCGCGTAAGATTCTATAAATTTTCTGAAATATCTTGATAGACCGAAAAAGCTCTGAACATCTTTTAACATACGCGGCTCTGGGAAATTCGAAACTGCCTGAATCTTCCCGAGAGAAGGGTGAATTGTACCGTTCTCTATTATGTATCCAAGGTACTCAACCCTTGGTTGCAACAATTGGCATTTACCTTTATTTATGTCGAGACCGTAATCGCTTGCGACTCGAAGAACTTAACGCAATCGTCTGATGCCCTCTTCTACATCAGGTGCAATTATTATTAAATCATCTAGATATAATAACAAAATTCCTTCGTTAACCAAAGGTCGGAAAATTTAATTTATAAATCGTTGAAAAACGGGTGGCGAATTGCACAATCCAAAAACCTTTAAGAATTGATACTGACCCTGATAAGTTGTGAACGCAATATATTTTCGACTTTGTTTCGCTACGCTCACATGAAAAAATCCGTTTTTAAAGTCTATCGTGCTGAATATGCGAGCCCCTGATAATCTATCATAATTATAATTTGATGCTCGATTACTGGAAGTGGATACTTATCCTTAATCATTATTCGATTTAGTTTTCTATAATCGACACACAGCCGATGAGAACCGTTCTTCTTTTTTACGAGTACTACAGGGCTCCCATATTCAAACGAACCCAGCTCGATGATTCCTTCGCTTACCCACTCGTTTATCTGATTTTCGATAATCTCTTTTTCTTTCAAGGGTAATCGTCGTGGAGCTTGGAATATAGGCGTCTCATCCTTCAATGTTATACTCAATTCGATTATATCAGTTGTCTTAGATTTGTTCGACTTAGTTATATTCTCGCATCATACCTTCAGCAACATTTTTAGCTTCTTTGTCAATTATTGTATCTGTACAAATTGCTTCGTCTTTTTCTGGCTGTAATTCTATTTGTGAGAGAAAAATGGAAACATTAGGCTTGGAAATTGCGATACCATCTTTATCGATCCTTACTTCGGCTTGAATTATTAGGTCAGTGCCTAAAATCACATTAACATTCAGGGCTTCGGACGGAACTACATGGAATGCTAACGGAAAATCGACATTATCTATTGTGACCGTTGATTGGAAATAACCGAGCGTCTTTACTTGACCCTGTGCGATGCCTGTTAAAAGGACTCCTGATTCATGCAACTTTAATGTTTTAAAAGTTTTAAAAATATCCTCACGCATTAAAGAGAAGTGGCTACCGGTGTCTAATAATGCATACAGACTCTTTTTTTTTTATTATAACCTGCTTGAACATCCGATTCACATCGACCGCTTTAACAAGAATATTTGAAATTATCTGCGTAATGTTGGACTTATTTTTATCGGGACAATGTTTGGCTTCATGCCCAAAGTTATTACAATGAAAGCATTTTTTCCTATTATCTCTAAATTTACATTTGTCCGACCTATGTCCGCTTTCGTCACAGTTGTAGCAACGTTCTCCTGGTTTTGTTGTCTTCTTTCCCTCTTTCATCGATTTGGGGTCGTCCTTGTTTGCCTTGTTTGCTACTTCTTTCTTCGAATTATTCTTCATGGCTGTATTTCCTCGTTCTTGTATCTTCTCATATACACGAAGACAGGACCTGAGCTCGTTATAATTTTGAGCTCCATATAACATCACCTTGCTACTGCTATCCGATATACCATCGATGGTGCACTGTATCGTTGATTCGACGTCTATACCTCCTTGCAACGCTAATTCCCTCATAGTTAAGTATTCTTGAATACTCTCATCCTTCCTTAACTTTTTTTTGGCCAACTTTCGGTGGATGTCTTCACTCGCAAGCTGAATTCTTCCTTCAGAGCTGCTTTCAATTTATTCCACAGTACTCAATCCCTGCACAAACGTTTTAGCGACACCCTTTAGGGACTTGCGGTCAAAAACCAATTTTTGAATGTCATTCCACTGAAACAGAGTGGCTAACTCCTCAAAATCTGAAATCCATCTTTCAATCGTATAGTAGTCGTTCCCATCGAATAGACGGATAGTATCTTCAACATCTTTGAAATTGAAAGTAATGTTCGTACTCTTTTGTCGTCCCCTTCTTGACAAATCTCGTTCGCCGGCCTCGGAGTCAGTGCTACTAGTAGCCAATGACGGAGTATTTATTTTGTCGCCTGCTCGCTGATCTTCCGCTAATTTTTCATCGACTCGTTCAGCGCCTCCTTGCTGTAACTCATCGGGCTCCTCTTCCGACTTTTCCTCGGTTTCTACATCGTCGTCATGCGCACGTGGCATTCTCAACGTTCTAATGTTTACGAGCGCTCGTGTAATTCTCTGTCGCAGTTCTTCTTTGGCGCCGACGTAGCTCAAGCCAAGGATATTACATATAAATGTCAGATCACCAATCGAGAAAATGGCAGAGTATTCTAACTTTGCACGAAATTCGACTGAAACATCGTCGAAATTGAAACTACAGAAATTACGTAGTTGGTTGCGACTAGTGCGATCTCCGTCTTTTTCGAATATAAATTTATACAGCGCGTATACGGCTGGGCGCGACGACGTTCGTATCTTATCAGTGATTGACTTAATCTTTCGTAGCGTCTCCATATTTATCACTAATGCCCAATCGTCTTCAGTTTTCCCTAC